TCCGAGGCCCCCGACAAGGCCCAAATATGGCCCCAAGAGGCCACGCGAGGCCCCCCAAACGCCCCCAAATGGCCCCCAAGCGGCCCTTCAGAAGCACCCGAGACGCCCCAAGAGGTCCCGGGGGCCGCCAAGAGAACGCCGGCGCCTTCCAAGAGATATCCAAGAGGCATTCCTCCTGCTGCATCTCGCTCCTCCCTCATCCCCCCTCCTCTCATCATCCGCCTGCTCCTCATCCATCCTTTTCCCTTCTTCATCATCCACCCTCCTCCTCCCCATTCTCCTTCTTCCTCCTCCTCCTCCTCCTCCTCCTCCTCCTCCTTCGAGCGATAACGGCTGCCCCTTTTCATTCCGAAATATCCCTGATCACCTCAACTCGGCTGGGCGTCGTTTCTGGATGGGCTGGCGATCGCCCGCTGGCACCGGTTGCATTTGAAAGGTGTTATCTTCCTCACTTGCAGGTTTGGAACATGATGCCCTTGAAGAGCGCGAGGCAGAAAAGGCCGCTCAAGTGTAACCGCTCTCGGCGCGGGGCCTGGCGGCAAAAAACCAAACGCGCCTCGACAGCAGCAGGTTCCAGTTGCTCTTGAAGTGCGCTTGGCTTCTCACCACCAGGTTGCGCGCCGGGGGCGGCTGCGTTTGACGGGCGGCTTCTTCCTCATTTGCAAGGTTGGGACATGCCCCCATCGTGGCGCGCGAGGAAGAAGAGGCCACTCAAGCGCAACCGCTCTCGGCCCAGAACCTGGCGGCAAGAAGCCAATCCCTTTTCTCTAACATTCTCCTAACGGGCGGTATCTTGCCAGCGTGCCTCCACCTCCCTCCTACGCCGCCTGCGCCCCTCCTCATCATCGTGCTGCTTATCCACCGCGTGCCCCCCTCAACTTCGCGGTGGTATCTCTCTAAGCCTCCTGGGCGGGGTCGGAGTAGATGGGGTCGGAGGATCACGCTGCGTCGCCGATGCATCGCCGATGCGGTTCGATGCGGAGCCTGATTTGCGTCGCGCCGACGTCGCCGATGCACCGCTGGCGTCTTTGATGCATCGCTGATGCATCGCCGATGTTTCGCCGATGTATCGGCGATGCGGCGAAATGTTCCGACCCATCTACTCGGGCCCATCTAGGAGGTGTCTATGCTCCGCCGCCGCAGCCCCCTCCTGCGCGTTACAGCGCCGGTCGCCGCGCTGGCCCCCGACGCCGTCTACACCTGGCACACGCCACCGCGACTGCGCGCCAAATCTGGCCTTCGCAACCACGAGATCGCGGCCTCGATCTCGAAAACATGCATCACCTGGGTAATTCAAGCCATCATATGTAATTCGCACCAGCCCTTTAGGGCGTGATTGGTTTAGAACGTTTCCTCTTCGCCACCACCCCTTTTCCCCTCTTCCCTCTCCTCCTCATCCTCTTCCTCCTGGCACCGTCTCTTGGTGGCGGTCGCCAATGCTCACAGGGCAAACCCCTCCTGCACCCCCTCCTCCTCCTGCTCCCCGTCCTCCTCCTCCTCCTCCTCCTCATCCTCCTCGTCCTCCTCCTCCTCCTCCTCCTCCTCCTCCTCCTCCCTCTACTCCCTCCACCCCCTCCCTTCCTCTATTCGTCGGGCCAGACGAACGGAAGGGATTGGGAAAGGGGGGGGTGCGAAATCTGCTGCGCGCAGCTGGCCCCGCCGAAGGGCCCGCTCCTCGATGCATAGCCGCCTCCGGCACCGGGGGGCGTTTGGAAAACCAGCTACGTAAGTTGATTCTCAAGACCCCCCGTTGTTTTCCCTGCTGCCATCCCCCCGTGTCGACCAGCCCGACTTTGCCGCCTGGGGCGGACGGCCCGCCTTGCCAATATCCTCCTCCTCCTCCTCGTCTTCCTCCTCCTCCTCCTCTTCCTCCTCCTCCTCCTCCTCCTGCCTCCTCCTCCTCCTTCTCCTTCCTCCTCTTCCCCCCCCCCACCCCCCCCCCCCCCTCCCCCTCATCCTCCTCCCCTTTCCTCCTTCTCCTCCTCCCCCGTCGTCCTTCCTTCTCCTCCTCCTCCCTCCTCCTCCTCTTCCTTCCTATCCTCCTCTCCTCCTCCTCCTCCTCCTCCTCCTTATCCTCCTTCTCCTCCTCCTCGTCCTCCCCTTCCTTCCTCGTCCTCCTCCTCTTTTTCCTTCTCCTTCTTACTTTACTACTGGCCGCCGCCGCCGCTCTCTCTCTCTCTCCAGCGGGCCGCACCGGCGGCCAGCTCGCTCTCCCTGGGGCTGGCGCCCTGTTCGTGCACCTGCACGTCCCTTTGGAGGGATGCGCCGCCCCCCCAGAGCGCGCGCCTTGGGCTTTGGCAGACGCGCGGATGTCAAACAATTGTCGCCCTCCTCCTTTTTCTTCTCCTCCTCCTCCCTCCTCCTTCTCCTCCTCCTCCTTCTCCTCCTCCTCCCTCCTCCTCCTCCTCCTCCTTCTCCTTTCCTCCTCTCTCCTCCTCCTCCTCTCCCCCCCCTGCCCCCCTTTGCCCCGTGCTCCTGCCCCCCCCATCCTTGGAGATGAGGAACAAAACGCGTCTCAAATGCAACCTCCCGTTTGCTAGGCAACGCCGCCAGAACCGCCAAATGATCTCGTTTGCACCTTCGCCCCCCTCCTGCGCCCACCCCCCCTGCCCCCCCCCCCCCCCGCGCCAGGCCTCCGAGGTCGCGGAGGAGGCCGCCACGGTCGTCCAGGGCGGCCGCGCCGCGCGCCGCCGCGCGGCGCGGGCCGTGCGGCGGCGGCGGCGGCGGCGCGTCGTTGGCGGCGGCCGCAGCAGCAGCGGCGGCGACGACGACGCGACCGCGAGCAAGCGTTGTCCCCTCCGGCCCCCAGGGGCCTTCAATAATTTCGGTGGCTTCCGGGGACCTGGATCCGGGGGGGGGCAGCGCTTGCCGAGCGTCGTCGTCGCCCCCGGAGATCCGTGCCCGACGGGCCCCGCAGGCCAAAATCCAAGAAACAACGCCTGATTGAAAACATCACATCCTCGGATCTCTGGGACGTCGCGGTCGTCGTCGTCGTTTTCGACCCGCGGGCCCAAAGGTCCCGCCCCTTCGCCGGGAGTGGTTTTTCGCCCCTGAACCCTTTTCAATGGCCCCCGCGCCCGACGACGGGCTCCGCGCGCCGAAATCCAAGAACAGGCCGCCATAATGAAGAAATCACATCCTCGGATCTGTGGGTCGTCGTCGTCGTCGTCGTCGTCGTCGTCGTCGTCGTCGTCGTCGTCGTCGTCGTCGTTTTCAATCCGCGGCCCCAGAGGTCCCGCCCTCTCCCTGGGAGTACTTTTTCGCCCCGAAGCCCCTCTCGATGGCCTCGGGCCCGACGACGGGCCCCGCGTGGCGAAATCCAAGAAAAAACTCCAGATGGGAAAAAAAAAAAAAAAAAAAAAATCGTCGGATCTCTGGGCCGTCGCGGTCGCCCCCCCGGGAGTGGTTTTTCGCCCTGGAGCCGTGTTCGATGACCCCTGGGCCCGACGACGGGCCTCGAAGTCAAAAGCTCAGAAGGATGATAACCAATGAAAAAAAAAAACACATTCTCGGATCTATGAGTCGTCGTGTCCTCCTCCTCCTCCTCCTGCTTTTCCTCCTCCTGCTCCTCCCCCTTCCCCTCCTCCACCTTTTGCTTATCCTCAAAGTCGTCTGCCTCCTCCCCCTCCTCTTCCTCCTCCTCCTCCTCCTCGTCTTCCCCCCTCCTCCTCCTCCTCCTCCTCCTCCTTCCCTTCCCTTTCCTTCTCCTCCTCCTCCTCCTCCTCCTCCTCCTCTCTCTCCCCTCATCCTCTCCCTCTCCTCCTCCTCCTCCTCCATCTCCTCCCTCCCTTTCCTCCTCTTACCTTCTTTTCCTCCTTTCCTTCTCCTGCTCCGGCCCCCCTCCTCCTCCTCCTCCTCCTCCTCCTGGTCGTCTCGTTTTTCCTCCCCTCCTCCTCCTCCTCTTCCTCCTCCTCCTTCTCCTCCTCCTCCTCCTCCTCCTCCTCCTCTTCCCCCTCGTCGCCCCCCCCGTCCCCCTCCTTTTTCTTCTTCTCGTCGTCGTCGTCGTCGTCGTCCATTGCCGTCCGCTGCCGTCCGTCGTCCGTTCGTCCGTCCGTCCGTCGTCGTCCGACGTCGTCGTCGTCGTCCGTCATCGTCGTCGTCCGTCGTCGTCGTCGTCCGCCATCGTCGTCGTCCGTCGTCGTCGTCGTCCACCGTCGTCGTCGTCGTCCGTCGTTGTCCGTTGTCGTCGTCGTCGTCGTCGTCGTCCGTCGTCTCCCGTCGTCGCCCGTTCGTCGTCGCTCGCCGTCGTCTCCCGTCGTCGTCGTCGTCTTCGTCCGTCGTCGTGGTCGTCGTCGTCGTCCATCATCGTCGTCGTCGCCCCTCTTCGAATTCGTCGTCGCCGTTGTCGTCTTCGCCGTCGTCATCATCCGACGTCGTCGTCCGTCGTCGTCGTCCGTCGTCGTCGTCATTGTCGTCGTCGCCCGTTGTCGTCGTCGTCGTCGTCGTCGTCGTCGTCCGTCGTCGTCGTCGTCGTCGTCCGGCGTCATTGTCGTCGTCCGCGGTCGTGGTCGTCTGTAATCATCGGTGTCCGTCTGTGGTTATCGGTGTCCGTCGTCGTTGTCGGTGTCCGTCGCGTCGTTCGCCCGTGGTCGTGGTCGTCCGTGGTCGTCGGTGTCCGTTTGTCGTCGTCGTCGTCGTCGGTGTTCGTCGTCGTCGTCGACGTCGTCGTAGTCTTCTCCTCCTCCTCCTCCTCCTCCTCCTCCTCCTCCTCCTCTTCTTCCCCCTTCTCCTCCTCCTCTTTTTTCCCCTGGTTGACATGTTTTTTTCCCACGGCCGTCGACGATCGAGGCAGGGCGTTTTGGGGCGTTTTCGGTGAACTTTGGCCGTCGTCGGCTTCCAGGAGCCCAGGGGCCTACTGGGGCTTCGCGGGGGTCACTGCCTGCCTGGCTAGCCCCGACATTGCCCTGGCGCGGCTCCCATGCCGCCCCTTCACGCACAACGAGTTTGGAGAATTTGTCGCCCCCTGGCTCCCAGCAGCTCCCTCTAAACAACGGCCAGTCATGCTGCGGTCCGAGTTCAGTTTGGACTGGTCCCTGGGCCTCTCGCGCCTCGCGGTCGCCCCATTCGCGATGGCCCCCCCTGGCCCCGTCGCAGCGGCCGCGACGTCCGGCGCCCCCGAGGGCGCGCCGGGCGCGGCGGGTGGGCCCGCTGACAAGTGCCTGCGCGCGGACCCGGCATTGGGCCGCAACGGGGCGCCGGGGAGCAAGCTGCTTGGCGCCGCGGCAAGGGCCCCCGCGGCAACGGCAGAACCCGACGGACACCTTCGGCCAGAACGCCGGCCAGGCACTGGGCGCTGGCAAGGGCGGGAACAACAGCCGCGATACGACCAACGTGGAGGCGATGCTGTCGGAGCTCGCGAACATGGCGGGCAGGCATCAGCCGTCTGCCGTTCAAGCCTTCGTCGGCGCCAAGCACCGGGGCTCGCCGACCGACGAGGAGGCGATCGGGTCCATCATGGGCACCCGCTGCCGCCACTGCTTGCTCGGGGGCCGGAAGCTCGCCCAGCGTGGCCGGGCCCAGCGCATGGCCGAAGACAACGGGCCGGCCACCCCGCGCAGCCTTTGCGCGCATAAGCCATTGGCTGGAGGAGTGCTCTGACTAGTGCGCCTGCCAGCGGCAGAAGCCTTTCGCGCGGCATCTTGTATGCGGCAATGCCCGAGCTGGCCGCCGTGCCCCATGCGGGCGACAGACCCGTGCTCTTCGCGCGCGTTTTACATGTGGCCTGCGCGTTTGGGCCGGTCGCAGACTAACCACTTCGGCTCCGGCAGGCGGACCGCGAGAAAAAACATCTTCATCGCCTGGGCGGGAGACGGACGCCGCGCCCCGCCCCTGTTAAACATCGGCTTTTTTGCGCGGCGAGGGCCCGGGCCCCGTTCAGGTCGGCCACAGGCTTGCCGACAACAAAACAAAATGACATAACGATACTCCAGGGGTCGGGGTGGTCAGGCGAGCCGCGGGTGGACAACCGCGCGCGCGGCCATTCGAGTAGCGCGCGCGCAGGTCGCGCGGCCCAAGCGCGGACGCGGCGCCTGGTAGGAGGCGCCGGGCCCGCAAGGGCACCATCCACAAATCATCGCTAATTTTAGAAATCTCCAGGCGACTCAGCGCCGCCGATGTAAAGCCTCGGGCGGTCAATGAGACTTGCGGGGCCAGTCCAGTATCTCGCGCCCCGATCGCGCGGCCCTGGCGGGGCTGCGGCGCCCGGAAGATGGAGCCGGGCCCGCAAGGGCTCGATCCAAAATCTATTGCACATTTTAAAGATCTCCAAGCGACGCAACGCCGCCGCAGTAGAGCCGGACAACCTGACCTGCGACCATCCCAGTAGGAGGCAAGGCCCGCGCGGGCTCAATCCCAAAATTATCATGAATTTTAAGGACCTCCAGAAAACGCCTGCGGCCAGGTGGCCAGCGGGCTCGCCCCGGACTCGGGCCGGGATTCCATGTTGCCGAAACTTGTGGCACGTTCAAAAGCAATATGGCCAGTGCGGGCCCGCTCCCTGGGGCCGCCCTGACACGCGAAAGTCAGGGGCCCATGTAAAGTCGCAATCCGATCCCATCGGGGGCGCTCGCGGCCGACACTGACGACCCTGGAGAGCTCTCGCGAGGCGCGGCGAACGGGCCCTTCCCATCGAGGGAGCGGGCGACGAACCCCCGCCGCTGGGCGACCAATTCGCCCCCGATGAAATTTCCCACTCCGGGTTCTCGGCCAGCCCCCGCCCCCCCGCCTTCCGCGGCTGTTTGGGCGCAAGGTCCACGCGTGCATTCGTTGAGCGAACCGCTGTCTGGCTAGACAGACGCCCCGGTGCCATGGGGCGCTGAGCTGCTCTCGGCGCCGTTGCCAGATCGTTGGCGGGCCATCCGTCCTCAACCCAGGGCCTCGGAGGCGCCCGCTGCGCCGGCCCGCCCTGCGGCCAGACTGCCTCGCGCCCTCGTCGGTGCTTCTGCCGCGGGCGACGCGGCCTCCAATTCGCGCCGGCTCGGGGCGACGTTCCCCGGGCATCCACGCAGACGGCTGCTTTGTCCGCGAGGGCTGCTCTCATGGGCGCCGCGCGAGACATCCTGCGAGCGGGGTGGCAACGGAGCTCCAGGCCAACGCCGGGGCTTTTCCCGTGCATGTTCATGGCTCCGAACGACAGGTCGACTCCGGCACCCCCCCTTCTTTCGATTCGCTGGATAAGCTCGCGCCCCCGCTCGCCAGCGCGGGCGGCGCGGCTTGGCAGACCATGCGGCCCAGCAAAGCAGCTGTCCGAGCGCGGCACCAAAGCATTAACTACAGCCAGGTCTTCAAAGAGGGCCCCCCGCGCATCGCACCAAAAGCGCGCAGCGCGCGCGGGCGAGCGGGTGCAATTTTGCGCGGCCAGGGCAGCTGCAAGCACGCCGGCTGGGCGAAGAGACGCAGATTTCGCATTTTGTTGTTTGTTGCGTGCGCCGCGTTTCGGAAGCGATCGCTTTCGCGTTCAGGACGCGCATTTTAACGCCTCCTGCACGTGCTGTTTTATCGGGAAGCAAAAGAACGACCCGCGTGGCAATGGCAAGTGGCGTTTCATTCCGTGCAAGCCGAGTGCGGGGCTATCCCTGGCGAAACTCCTCCAGGGCTGAGAGGAACGCGGGCGCGAACGCGGCGGGCGCGCCTCTCCTCTGCGCCACGACTGATTTCAAACTCCAGCGGGTTAGCGCGGATTCGCGGCGCAAGGCGGCGTCGTCTCACTTTAAAGACCCGGCTGCTAACGCGCATTCGTTTCGTAGAGGCGGAACGGAATGGCCCGCGCAAGTAGCGGCGCCACCCCCGCGCGTGGTCCAGCGGCAGGGAGGGTGGAATTCAGGTGACGTCACGCGTCATGCGCGCGCCGACACTTCTCCCGACACGCTAATGCAAGGTTTGTTGAGAGCCTGGCCGCCTACTCCGCAGAGCAAACGACGGACCGGCCGAGTCAAACGCCGGCAATGCATCCGCGTGCTCGTTCGGAGCCCCGCTCGAAAAAAAGATACCCGCATGCGCCCGACACGCGCCGCTGCTCGGAACGCCGCCTCAAGGGGGCCTGCCTCGAGGGGGACTCACTGGGTTGTCTCCTGGAGGTTCCTTCCCTGGTGGGCCGGGGGTACATTCGCCCCCTTGTTGCCAGGGACAAGCATCGACCCACGTCGTGAGATTGATCCTCTGAGGGGGAAGGCGAAACGCTTCGAATCATGGGCGATCTAGAGGACGCAAACAGCATTGCCAGTGCCGGCGGCGCTGGCCTTGGTCCGCAGACGGCCTTGCCCGCTGCGCCGCTGGGTCGAGGCCCAGGGGTCACGAGTGCAAAGGGAGGGCGCAGGGCTTGGCCATGAGGGAACAAGCTGGGAACCCTACTCTTACGATAACGTCGGCGACGCATCGAGGCGCCCCACAACTCACCCCTCGATTGCAAGCAAGAAGAGAGGTGAGAGAGAAGCCGTGGGATCGGGAGATGCATCATAAATGAACGCGGCCTTTGTCCGATGCCATGGTCCGCAGATAGAGGCGCACAGGGTCGTCCACCTAGCAAATAGGACTGCGCAGTCTTGAGCCAAGACAGCGTCGATCATGGCGTTCGCTATACAGTCTCTCTTTAAACCTCGTTTAAAGTCGGAAAGGGAGGGGCCGAACGCTAGATCCAATTCCTGATTAAGTAAGTCAGAGAAATAAGGAGGACCAGGAAGTTGCGTTTCAACATCCCCAACGGCATACATCATCAAAGCACGGAACAGAAACGCAGAGCACCCGGGCGGGCCACGACGCACTGCCGCGACCAGCCACAAACGATCATGGGTAGTCACGGTTAAACCCACGTGGATACCCTCAGACACTTCAAGGGGGACGTCCAGCCATTGGGACGGACGTCGAAGCGCGCAGTGTGCGAGGGGATATTAACACGCTGTCAACACCCTTCTAAACATAAGAAAGAACAATGCCAGTGCCCTGGCACTCGTGGTAGCTGCGGAGCTATGGGTGTCTACGCCCGTGGCCGGGCGAGGATAACCACGCGGTAGGTAGACATGCCGAGGTCTGGGAGAGGATGCCTACTTGTCTGCGTTTGAGTAGTCGTCCTCAGTATCTGCTGGACCTGAATAGGGCACCCCTGCACCCCGATGTTGGCGCTGTCTTTCTTGCCTCGATGTGGCATGTACTTCTTTACTTCGTACTTGAAGAACTGGTTGTCCTCCATCACTTGCAGCAATGACGCGCGATCGATGCGCCCCTTGGCATGGCCGCCAGCGGTCATGTCTCGTGTATCACACCACTGTGCGCTATGGACTATAATCGGGCCCATCATGTGTCTTATCCAGCAGATGCGCCCCAGCAGGGTGCATTCGGTCGGCTTCTGCAAGACCGTACTTGACATAGGTTTACAGACCGACTCAGCGCCCATGGCAAGGATTGCCATAACGCCGAGACCACCCAACTCCATAATGTTCTTAAGTTGAGTGGGCGTTGGGGGCCCAGCTTTTAGCACATGTCGCGTAACTCTGGTAGGGTAGCAGTCCTCAGGATTATAAACGGCTGCCAGTGTTTCAGCTGAGTAGCTGGAACGCACCTGCAAGCGCTGCGACTTGCAGCGTGCACCGATCAGATGTACGACTGCCTTGCCATTAGGCGCGTGTCGGCGCAGTGAAAGGTTGGCCCATCGGATGCCATATTCCTATTACTTCGTCATCGTCGCCCCCATTAGGGCGACGATATCCTGAATCAGTGTGAAGGTTCACTTCTCCTGTCGGAGTCACGCATTGATAGATTATGCTCATTGGACCTTGCTAAAGTCTGCGCGTGACAGCGTTGAGTCTTCGTACTTGGAGGCCTGCGGCATCCTGCGCGCGGTGCGCAGATGCCACGCACGCGCGCCTGAGTGATTAATGCATGCGCCAAGGCGCCGCGTAAATTGACGACCATTTCGGATGCGATCTTCGTTGCCGTGTCTTCCGCTACAGCGACCGTAAGTTCTGGGTGTTGTATCGGGCGAAGCTGTTTGATGTGTTCATCCCGATCTAGCTGGACGTGGTCGTCCTCGGCCTCAGTGCATCGAACGGCGTAGTAAATGTAACAGTGTTTGTTCAGTTTGCATGCGCCAAGCATACCTTGCACATTTGACATGCTGGTCAATGGTGTCCTTCACTCCTGCCGTGTGTATATCATCGACGTGCTTGGCTGTTAGGAGGCTTGGGCACGTCTCCAATTCTTCATTCATATGACGTAAATCATAGCCCGGATAATCCCGTGATGGATCTGAGCTTCAAAGAGAATGCCCTGGGGGCGTCTTTGGTACCTGTGCCTGGTTCAAGCCACTGTAGACAGCGCTTTGATTCGCCATGGGACGAGAAGCCGGGCAATGTTCGCAGCGCCGAGGCTGAACCCGGTGAGAGAGAAACGCAAACCATGCGCACTTTCTGTCCAGTGACTTCTGCCAACCCACGATAGGCCAGACCTTTAAAGACAGCCTTATCGGTGTCCATGGGCGCCATGATCCACTGTTCCGCGCACGCGGCCGCGCGGGCGAGCAATCTCTAGCTTGCTCGGCGAGCTGTGACTGAGAAGACTTCTACGTCGAATGCTTCGACATCCATAGAGCCACGAAGGACATGGCGCAGTCCAGTTGTTCGTTTAATTTCGCCTTTGTCGTCTTCGACAAACTTCCACTTGTGCACGTATCTAGAGGTCATGATATTGGTAGCATTATTGATGTCGTGCCTACATGAAGCATTTGTTATCATACCATATATTCAGTTCAGTGTGTAAAGCCGCGGGTAGATCTGTCGAGTTGGCACGACTTCCTGCCCGCGTCAAT